GTCAATGGTGGAGATGGAGCTGGCCTTTCTTGGTACCTCAGGAGCTCTCCCCTGGTGACTGGAGCCACATCAGTGAAACCAGGCAAGTCGATTCTGTGATCAGAATAAAAGGACAGAGAGAGAGAGGAGTGTCTTGCCCACAGAAGTTAGAAATGGAAAAGGCCCTGCTGGATCAGCACCTTGTTTTCAATTTAGCTGAGACAAGGTTTCAGGAGGGAGGAAAGACTATCCTTAATGATAAACTGCAGACCATGGGTTCAAATATATTTATCCCATAGAAAGTGCTCACAAACCTTTTTGAGACATTGTACTCCAGGCTGAGAATGTCTGATCTCCTTACGCCTTTTGCGAGACAGTGCAGGAGTATTAATAAGTACTGACACTACACCATTGCTAAACGCTATTATTAGCGATTCAATACTTATTTCTGTTACTAAGGCAGGACACCCTGCCTTTTTATGTTACAATTATGTTTATTGTTATACCAGTGCATATTGGATGCTTCCGCAATTCAAATATGCATTTTTTAAAATAAATTTTTGCAAGCCATTTATGCATAGGAAATTAAGATATTTCTTATGCATCTGATGAAGTGGGTATTCACCCACGAAAGCTTATGCTCCAATACATCTGTTAGTCTTAAAGGTGCCACTGGACTCTGTTGCTTTTTAAGATACTTCTATTATCTAATGGGTCCAGTCCAGCTCCCATTGAAGCCAATAGGAGCTGTGCTGTTGACTTCAGCAGGATGATCAAACCCAAAGTAACCATATTAATGGTTAAAAAACATTTTACACATTTATTATTTGTATTACCATTGCACCTAAGAACTGTAGGCATAGACCAAGACCCCAATGTGCTAGGTACTGTACAGAAAACAACGAGACCATCCCTGCCCCAAAGAGCTTTTGCATAACTATTGCTAAATATAAAAAAATCCATATTACCATGGAATCGTTTCTTATTATTGGATTCACACTATACCCTGTAATGGGTTCTGTTGTCAATAATCCAAATGAAAACTATAAAATGTAAGATTTTGAATGAAAGCACCACCTTCAAAAAAAAGTTGGAGGTTGTTGTTTTTCCAAGACCATATGATTGTATTAAGTAAGTTACAGGTATTTTAAAACAAATTATTTAAGATATGTTTACCCAACAGCAGAATGGTTAGGCTGCCATATAAACGCTATAGTTCCAATCATTCTGACATCTGCATACGGCTATATTCACACCTTTCTTTGCTCAACATCAACGTCTGTCAACCCACAAAAGCAAGGACATTCCATAAGTGCTGCAACTCTATCCGTAACTCCTCGTGGTCTTGTCTAGAAAATATCTTCAGCAAAAGTGCAGCTGCAGTGGTGCTACCAGCAGTGTAAGCACTACCACAGACAAGGAGCAGGCCATTTTTTCAGACTACCTATGAGGTTAGATGATACAATAGTAAACACTCCTATTCTTGGTGTCCACTAGATTTTATACTATCAGTACCAGTGTTAGTGGTGTAGTGGTGCTGAAAAAACAGATATTAGGTTTATTAGTATAGTATTCATGATCCCTAAATACACCTCTACCCCGCTATAACGCTGTCCTCGGGAGCCAAAAAAAATCTTACCGCGTTATAGGTGAAACCGTGTTATATCGAACTTGCTTTGATCCGCCAGAGTGCGCAGCCCTGCCCCCCCGGAGCACTGCTTTACCGCGTTATATCCGAATTCATGTTATATCGGGTCGCGTTATATCGGGGTAGAGGTGTAGTATGTGATCTGTCATACTGCGTATGCAGTAATGCATGTAATGTAATGCACTGTCAGAAATCATGCTATCATTAGAAAGACATCTCAATGTTCCTATCAATGGCAGTATATCCTGCTTAGAATGAAGTTTCTGCCTGAACTCTGAATTTCTTTGCTCTTGGAATGAGAACATCAGACTTAAAGGTGAACTGCAAAGCCTTTGTGAAGGATAAGCTTCACAAACTATTTAAGAAGTAAAAATTAGTTGATCACATCAGTTACTTTAAGACAATTGTAATACTTTCATGGACACACAGAATTCACTCTCATCAGCATTTCTACATATCATGTAGACTTCATAGTTGTAAACATGCATAAGCAAGGGGGACCTTTCACTTTTTCTTCATAGGTCTGCTACCTCACAAGCTTAAAGAGAACCTCAGTTATCTTTTATTCAGTCTGTGTACAGGTAGCAAAATTTCCCCTTCCTGATATAGAATCTTAAAGGTTTTTTTTTTTTTTTTAAAGAAAGTTTGACATCTATCTCTGATCTCCTTTGATATTTTCTCTTACATTTTATGCTGTATGAATTTTGCGTATGTAACTTGGTCAGTTCATTTTATAGTGCTTTCATTGTCTAGAACTTAAGCAATAAGCAACTATCCAAAAAAGGATATGAATAGATGTGTTGTTGGCACATTGACTCAGGCAGTACTATGGCTATGGTTTTGCTGTCATAAAGCAAGCTGTCTGAAGGATGTTTACAGTTACTGGGCAATTTCAGTTTATTGGAAAACACGCCATTTACTTGAATCACATTAGTGCTATGATTGCTCATCAGTATGGTAGCTGAGGATTTCAGTGACTGCTGTAAGTAAAGTTTATGCAGAGGCTGAGGAATTTTACAGTGAGACTTAAGATTTCAGTTTGAAGGACTTATAATTAGAGTCTTTATGAAAGATACAGTCTTTATGAAATATATAAGATTTTCAAAAATTACAAACCACCACATATCAACTCCCCTGTCTTTCATCCTCAGATACCTCTCAAAAAAGGAAGAGTTCACATTTCCTTGCCTCCCCCCGCCCTCCTCCCCCCAAAAGCCTGGAAAGTAAACTTCATATTAATGTAAAAATAAATTAGCAAAGACTGGATTTTCCAGAACAATGTCTCCGGCTTGTCCCCCAAAATGTCATGCAAAGGGGTCAGGATTTACAGAGCTTCTAACAGCACAAATACTTTGTTGGAAATAAAGAATTAAATCATGAAAACATTGCAATAGAAGTATTTTCATTACAAAAGGTCAAACAATAAGAGTCATAATAGATTCACTCTGCTGTAACATGCCTGATATGCCTTCACTCCTCCAATATATATGTGCAGCATTACAGGATAAAGATCAATGATCAATTACTAATGGCACTTTTAGATGTTAAAATAGGGTGGAAAATAGCCCTACCTGAACTTGAAATATTTAAGGCCCCTTCTGGGAATTTTCTGGCCAAAGTTCAAACACTTCAACATCATCTATATTTTAAAGTTGTTTATTATGACCAGAACTAGTATAGGTTTGCAGTTGAAGAGACAGATATTTATAATTTTTAAAAATGTATCAATCCTTTGGAAGCTTGAAACTTAAATCTCTTTCAGTTTAAAAAAAAAAAAGTGTTTGCCTCCATTACATCTGCCCGGGCATTTGTTTATTGTAGGGTAGACTTTAACTAACAGTTTGCAAGTCAGCAGTGTTTTTATCATCTGTGCTGCCTTTCATTTTGTGGAAGTGGATGGATCAAAGAATTGTGGTATTGCCAACTTCCACAATTTTATTACGAGTCTTGCATTATTTGGTGTTTTTCGTAAAGTTCTAGATCCTTGAATCTCAGGATTTTGTGAGAGTCTCAGGTTTCATTAAAAAAAAAAAAATTGTTTATGGCCCTCATGTAGGGTTGCCAACCCTCCAGGATTGGCCTGTTGTCTCCAGGAATTCAAGATTAATCTTTAATTAAAGATTATGTCATGTGACGAAATCTCCAGGAATACATCCAACCAATTGGCAACCCTAAAGGCTCAAAAGCCAGAAGGCAAATAAGAACCACCCCACTTTTATGTTTAAAAAAAATCATGATTGTGTAGGACCTGATCCATGATTTTCTTGGAGTCAGCAAGACTGATTCCTAGGAGAATATAGAGCCTTTGACTTATAACCTCTCTTTTGAATTTGGCATGGTTGAACTAATTTCCTCATGCTGGAATAGCACTTCCCATAGTGGCCTTCTCAGTAGCGAGGCTGGACTATGCCCTAATCCCTAGAGGAGTTTGGAGTTAATTAACAGGGAAGCTTTCACTGCCTCTGCTACCTGTTCTGTGTATAGAGGACAGCATTCTGGTCCTTTCCACAAGCATCACTCACTTTAGGGCAATATCTTGGGTCACCCAAGAAAAGTCAGAACACAGACTTTGAAGAGTGGCGGCAGACACCGTGTCCCTCCCACCCTTCCCCATGGGCTTTCTAACCAGTGGATCATCCAGTTCGAAAGACCACTTACTGTTCTCTTCTCACCATTCACCTGTCCTGTCCGTTAACTCCTTCTCCCCTGGGCTCCTACACAGGAAAATTGCGGAGTTTAATTCTGTAGCACACAAGGGTTGCAGAGTGCCCCTACTTGGCAGGTCTTCTTCCTTGTAGCTGTGCAAGGACTAAAATATGGCAGAACTCCAGGGAGCTGGGTAATGTCACCCTTAAGAAGTACTGGATGACTAATCCTGCTCAGATATACAAAGTAGTGGAAGAAAGGGGAAGAGAGTAAGATGTGAACAGGGACCCTTACGCCTGCTTTGCACAGGGGCTAGTCACAGTCTGTCCTTGTGGTTCCTAACCATAAACACTACTATGGCTAGCACTTGCTAGTGGTGCTAACCTCCACATAGCCTTTTCAGACTGTTGGGCTGGTAAAGGAGGACTATTGGTGGAGTGGGAAAAGCATATGCTATATCCTTTTAAAGTGCTGTGGAAGGAGACACACTTAGTCCATATGTTCCCATGGATACAGTGCCTGCCAGAAGCAGTCAATAAGCTCTCTAGCCAATGCCTCCAGTAAGCCACAATTTATCCGTGTGTGTGAAAGGATTATTTGTTTTATTAAATATTGCAACAAGCATCTTTGGATGTTCTGAGTTGCAGATGTTGTAACATCAGGAGTATTTTAATATATGGTTTTTTATTTTTAAAAACAGGGCATTCATTTCACTTTAGAGAGCAAAATGTTCTCCACATGGCTTGTGCACATGGCAATTTGGTGTTTGGTACAAGCAGTAACAGGTAAGTTACAGAAACTTTGCTTAGAAAATCTTGAACACTTTAATTTGTTTCTCCTTCAGTCTTTGAGTGCTTTGTTGGAAAATGCCTTCCTTTTTTTTTAAAGTTCCAGAGGGTCGCGCTACTGTAACTTCGATGCCTGCCTGGATTGTTTTCTTATTATTAAAAAAAAAAAATCATTTTCAGTTAATTGGATAACGCTGTTAAGAATAATGGATGTGATTCTCTGCTGCCTTGCGCCTTGTCACTTACACCTGGTCATAGCAGATGTATGACACTACTATTCTGATTTGGCAGCATTTTACACCCATGGCGCACAACTGTAAACAACCCTACAGAGTTCAAGGCATTGGAGAATCAGGCTGGTGTTCATTGAATGCACTTTTCAGAACCAAATGGTGCACAAGATAAGAGCCAATACATGCAACCATTGGCAACTCACTTTCATTTGTTTATACTGCATATAACTAAAGTTTCACTTCTGTTTGATGTGTGAATTCAAGGCTACTACAGGAAATAACTGCTAGTAAGTTATTTATTTATTTATTTAAAGTTAGAGGTTTGCTGTTGGTTACCTGAGAGGCACATCTTGCATACAATCCATTTCCAAATAGACAGAGCTGACTAGGTTAACAAATAAATAGAAATGCTGCTCCATCATTTTCCAGGGCCACTGAGCAACATCAAATGTATATGCACATCTCTGTTTGAATTGGGTGTTACACCTGCCTATCCCTGCATCTACACGAACTATGAAAAGGAAAATAAGGGATATCTCCCATGGAATTCAGAGGGAGTTTTACCATTCACCTCAATAGGGGCATGATTGCTGCTATTTCACCAATATGCATAGTGTTTTTTGTTAAAAGAGAAGATAAAGTTCTGCTTTCAGGTGGCTCCTTGGATTGTACTTTTTCAGTAAGAAAGTAGGTTGGCTTTCATTCATGATGTCCCTTAAATCGATGAAAATTTAGTGCCAGGCACAAATCATAATCCAGAGTTCTGAACTGTATTATGGTAGAGGATTATACTGGTGGAGGATTCTCCTTTGCTTTGTAAAATACTCTATACTTAAGGCCCTTGGTTTTCAGTTTATAACTGATTTTTTTCCCAAAAATTCCCAAGTTTTAGTAAAGCTATTACTTGTTTTTGTTGTTTTTTTTTTTTAAACAAACACTTTTACACAAATTTTGGACCACTCAACATGAAAATACTGATTATGTTAAGAAAATCCAATCCATTACATTAGGTAAATGTGTTTGTGTTAATAATAAATTAATCTAAGTATAAATGTGATGCTGTCTGTTAAAGTAAGGCAATGTAGTGAATGATGTGCGCGCATACAAATGCACTCCAGTGCTCAAGTCCTTAAAAAGAAAAGTGACAGAATTCCCTGGACCCAGCTCCCCACTGCGGAAAGAGAGATGGCAGCTCAGTAATCTGTTGCTTTTTTTCTGTCCTCCTATCCCCCAATATTAACCCTGATATTTACCCAAAAAAACTGAAGTTAATTTTTTGCACCGTTTTTCACCCCTTTTATAAATTTTTGCAATAAATACTGATACATTTCTAGGAAATTTCAAACAAAAGGCTTTGCACATTCTAAGAAGGGATCATGTGAGTATAAATACCCAGGCGTCTGATGAAGTGGGTATTCACCCACGAAAGCTTATGCTCCAATACATTTGTTAGTCTGTAAGGTGCCATAGGACTCTTTGTTGCTATATATACAGTTTGTTTTTCCCATTGTATTGTAGAAAATTGCAAAAGAGGAGACATGATTGCTAGCACAGATTCGGTAGTCCTTCCTGGATCAAACATTACCCTCTCGTGCCGGCTAAAACAGGGTGAACAATGCAAGGAGCTAATTTTCAATAATTCTGAAATGGTCCTTGCATATGGAAGACACACATTTAGTTGCAAATGTAAATCGAATGGAAAAATCATCTGTGGAATTGACATCTATGTTGGAAGTAAGGAGAAGCCATTTCCTATTCTAACACTTTCTTCCTAGGGTATCAGATGTGATGTACCTCTGAGAAGCACATCACAAAGTGGTAGTGGGATAACTACTTTAGTGAGTCCATTGGGTGATGGATAGGTTATTATAGTCAGAGTTAGTTAATTATTTACTCTGGGCCAGATTGTGCCTCAGGGGTCCTCCATACACTGATCTCCCCCCATGCATGTGTGGGCATTCACCACTGTAGTATCATATGCTTTACTTTGGGAAGGGGTTGGACACATGCATCACCAGCCCACTGTAAACACAGTGGCCCTTCCCCCTTTGTAAAATACTACATGAGGCTTTATTAATGTTTGTGCCTCTCCCACCCTCCTCAGTGGAAGGCCGCTTTTAGTGTGAAGGGGACAGAAGATTCCAAGGCAGTGGTAGATGGAAAAATCCCCAACAGATTGCTCCAGTGGAGGGTGCAGGGTTCCCCAAAATGCAGACATAGGGTCTCGGCATAGATGGATCTAGCTTCCAGTGGATCCCCAAGATTTGTGATTCAGAGCACAAACTCCAAGTAGTTCCCCTATGAATCCTAGTGTGAATAAGAAATTGTGCAATGGGAATCCCACAGAGTTTCCAGTAGCCTATGGGAGCTAATACTCTCTTATGTCTCATGGGGAAAGAAAGCTTTTTAAGAACAGTCATCGGTTGCTGTAGGCAGCCTTTTGGGCCCCAGTCCTATCCAGGATGTGCACATTGAGGCCCCTGCGTCTATGTGGAATCCTATTGTCTTCACTGGGGCTCCGCACAGTGGTCAGCCCATGAAAACAGCTTGCCGAAATTGAGGCTTTAATTTGTTCTTCTAAGGCTAGGTCTACACTACCCGCCTGAATCGGCGGGTAGAAATCGACCTCTCGGGGATCGATTTATCGCGTCCCATCAGGACGCGACAATCGATCCCCGAATCGACACTCTTACTCCACCAGCGAAGGTGGGAGTAAGAGCCGTCGAGGGGAAGCCGTGGAGGTTGATTTTGCCGCCGTCCTCACAGCGGGGTAAGTCAGCTGCGATACGTCGAATTCAGCTACGCTATTCGCGTAGCTGAATTTGCGTATCTTAAATCGACCCCCCCCGTAGTGAAGACGTAGCCTAAGTAAGTAAAAAGCCAGTCTCCCATAAAAGAGCTAGGTTAAAAGACAGCCTGAACCCTGAACTCTTTGTTTTTAAAAACAAAGGCAACAAAACAAAACTCAAGACTGTTTAGAAGAGGGTTTCTTAATACCTCTGTTACCAGTGTTTACCTCAAATATTGACAAGAGTGTCTGTTCAGATCCTCCAGACCAGCCAGGAAATGTATCCTGTATTCAGTATGGAAGAGATGGGAACCTTACTTGCACTTGGGATAAAGGAAGACTTACTCACATAGACACTACCTATGTGGTACAGTAAGTAACTGATGGACAAGGTTCTTTTTAGCCTACAGTTGAATAATAGCTTGAAAACTTACTATTTCTGGTAGGCCTATTTCTTTTTATTAAGGATCCAAAAAAGTCAGTTGGCTTACGTTTAAACTATTTGGGGAAAAAGCACAATGGAGACAGTATATGACTCAAGTTCATGAAAGTGAGTCTAGTTGCATAAGTAGACTATTCAGCTCACATTTTTCCCCGCAGATACTGCACCACATTACCTCAGCACCTTCTGCGCTAGGCAGTGTGCAGGGACTACACCCCATTTCTAGACATGCTTCCCCCTTGAATCTGGATGTTTAATACTGGAACTGGTATTAAACAGCTGCTTAAGCTTGCCCCTTCCTAGGGAACATTCTCAAACTGTCCAGCGTCCTAATATAGGTCCAGGGCAGGTTTTTCTCTGCTCGGTTACGCCATCTGAGGATTTGGCCCACAGAGTGTGTGTTGAAGATTTTAATCACAGGTTTCTCTTTTGTTCTAGGCTAACAAATGAGACAGAATGCTTACGTTTTGCAGAAGAAAGTATGAATCCTAAATACGGCTCACTGAATCTGACCAAGCTGAATTTTGAATCCAATTATACAGCTGTAGTTGCTGCCTCAAATAGACTAGGAAATGCTTCTTCCCTACCCTTTACATTCATGTTGATAGACATAGGTAAGTGTTACTTGTCTCTGAAATGAGCAGATCTAGGGAGCTGGTTAGAAGAGGTCGAATATACCAATATATGCCTTAGTGAATAAATTTCAAAAGGTTGCCAAAGACACCTAGAGCTTTGGATGGGGGTTCTTATTGTTAAGTAACAGCAATATAAATAAAGAAGCGACCCAGTGTAAATTTACCTGAAATTTATATTCCATCATATCTTACACAACAATTTCTAATCACATTGCATATCTAACTGGTATTTTTATTTTTTTTTTTGGTCTTTACTATTAGTGAAACCTCATTCTCCAACAGATATTTTAGTGAAATTTGACAACGTTTCTGCAACAAATTGCACTGTCTTGTGGCAGGATCAACAACAGACACAAAGCTTTAGACTAAGATACCGACCGGTTAACAGTCACTCCTGGAATATGGTAATAATTCTTTCAAGAAAAAAAGGAAGTTGCTGGTCACTGATGTTTGGTTTTGTTTAATTATTTTTACCAGGTTTTATTTCTTCAAATTTGCATCTCTTCTTGTTGGCACCAAATTTAGGATAATGCAATAATTCATATCGGAAATTAACTTTAAATTAAATGTCCATCATAAACACCATCTTTGGTCTGAAGTTTTCTGCATGTGAGGCCCTAATCCTGCAAGAACGTATTCATGTACTTAATATTATGAATATGAATAACCTCAGTGAAGTCAAATATTCATTTGAGTCTTTTCAGGATCACGGCCCTCATGTCTGATATAGCCCTGTGTTCAGACATGTATTAAGTAACTTGCTGCATCTCAGCAAAAGCCAGAAAATTATTACACTTTCAGAGTTACAAGATATAAACTACCACGCTTGTTAAGCTGAAGAAGGGCCTCATCCAACTCCTATTGAAGTCAATAGAAGTTTTTCCTTTTATTTTAACAGGATCCAAGTCGGACCTCAAATAAACATAATAGGGTTTTTAAAAAGTAGAAATCATATAAAGTATTGAGGACAGAATTTGTGAACAATGGAAGAGTTTGTTATCTCCAGGTTATTAACTATAGAATTTTGTTGGAAAACTGCAAACCAAAATATTCATTACACTTTTCTTTTTGAAAAGGTTATTCAGGGTTGCACTGAATTAGTTTGCCATTGGTTTTAAGCATTGTATTAATTTTTTTTGCTACATGAGGATAGCTGGTACTGTAACTCCCAAATTGATATTTCTGTTTTTACCAGTTATTTATCAAACAGAGGAGCTGTCCCCATTGATTTATTCCTGACACCACATAAAAAAAAGACCGTTAAGTTACCACTGCTTTGGGTTCTGAAAACCCTGGGTAGCAGTACAGGCTTCAGGCAGAATATAAATTATCCATAATTCAGAGTATTAAAGACTGAATGAAGTATTTCCTCTTAAGTTTAACATTACATATGCTTTAATGCCATTAAAGGTTGAAACTTTAAATTCTACAAGATATAATCTACATGATCTGAAGCCACATACAGAGTATGAATTTCAGGTTTGCTGCAAATTTCACCCCAACAGAGGAATGTGGAGTGACTGGAGCACATTTCGAATACAGACTCCAGAAGCAGGTAATAAAATATGCAGTTTGCCACGTTAATCCGTTGTCTAACTTATTTAGAAATTGTTTGAGAAGAGTTTAATATTAATAAATGCAAAGTGTGGGGCAGATTCTACCATCAGTTACAGCTGTGTAAATCCAAAAGTAGAGGTAGTCGGGAACTGGAATTCCTGTTCATTGGGAAATTCCAAAATGTCAGGAAAAAATAATTCAGTTGGAAATGGAACAAAAATTAAATTTCTGAAGTTTCCTGCAAAACAGGAATTCCAAAAATGTTGTTTATTAAAAGCTGAAATATTATTTCATTTTGATCTTTTTGAAATGTTTCCAAGGCTCTTGGAGCCCACAGGCAGGGAGCCCAGGAGCCAGGGCTCCTAAGAATGCTGGAAGCCCTGGTTCTGGGGCCATCTGCCTGACATACTGCCCTGGAGCTGGGGACCATGAGAGCCCGGACTGCCAATGAGCCACAAGCCTGGGAGCAGAGGTTGCCAAGGAGCTGCACCCCTGAAAGCCAGGACTTTCAGGCTCTCCACTACCTTCAGCCTACCAGGTGGGCTGCTGGGAGGCTCAGCATGGTGGCAGGAAATCCAGGCAGGCTTCCATTAGAAACCTGCCTGGTTTCTGTTGTCAGTTTCAACTAACTTGACATGTTTCTGTGGAACATTTTGATTGAAACAAATTGGCATTTTCTGATGAGAAATTTTCCAACAGAACGTTTTTCCAACAGCTCTATCCAGAAGTCAGTGGAGTCACTTCTGACTTACACTGTTGTAACAGAGCAGAATCTGGCCATGTGTTCTGACAATCAAACACACAGTAAAGTATGAGGTGAACAGGAGATGTTGCCACTATTCCATATTGTAGGAATAGGTGACAGTTTCCAGGAACACATAGTAAGACCATAAAGAGAATTGGTATTAATCAGTTTGTGCCAGCTCTAATATAAGATGTGTGATGCTCACTATCGGGTCATGTGTTTGCTTGCTTGACTTCAAACTACCCCCATGAAATCACATAGTACAGGCTTTTCAGTTCTTCTTAAAGAAGAAAACTTCTCAGAAGTTTGTCTCTCAAAGTTGTGTTAGTTTGGCACCAACTCCTTTGATCTTACACATATCTTTGATATATTTGTAAGTTATTATAAAACCTACAGGATTTTACTATGACTCATGCAATTTACCACCATTGACAGCATCAGTTTCTGTATGAAACATTGACTGATGCAAGAGAGAAGTGTGAACTTTTCTCCCCCCTAACAATTTCCTTCTTGTAACCCTTTGTACGCACGTTGGGTTGCTATAGTATTTCAGTTAAATGTTAGGATTTCAGTTAGGGTGGGGAGGAGCATTTAGTCTTTTTCCCAGCTAAACGTGAAATAAGAATCTCAAACTAATCAGCAAGTATGCTCTAGCCTCATTCCAACTGATCTCAATGGGAGTCGTGAGTGAGAAGTCATAGGTACAAAATGGCTCCATTACTACCTAAAATAACTAATGTGCAGAATTCAAAGCTCTGCTTTTAATATCAGAATGAATTTTTTAAAAAGCTACTTATTTTCAAGTCTCTATAGGGTCTGGTCCTGCCATGGGACATGTTACATTTAAGCACCATTCTGGAATTTCTGTTCATTCAAGCACCTTGTATAGGATATATGTGAAAATAGCCTTGAAGGAGGAATATTTGAGTTTGATAAATTCATTTTTGATTCTTTGAACCGCCCCCCCCCCCCCATCTCACCGTCTAATAGTGCTTAGTATTGGGAGAACTAAATCCTACTTTTTCCCCCTCCTTTAGCTAAGATTAATAAAGTTGTGGGAGATTTACAGGTGATATAGGGCAAGAGTTCTTAGCATTGCTTATATTAAGGATTTATCTCCTCCTTGCATGCAATCCCAATCACATTCCAGTCAGATTTGTCCATGAGCTCCTTGCTTTTGTTTTAGGGTTATTAGTAACAATTTGTGCTTATTTGAGTTGTGGTGTTTTTCTTTCAGCATACACTAGTGAAATCAGTTTTGAAGAACCAGTCTGTAGTATCTTTTGTTTTACTAGTTTTATTCTTATCTTGCTACTTCTTTCTGATTTTGAAGTACTTGAGCACATTGCCCACCAACTTTTGGCCTTTCTTCACACTCAGTTTGCTTGATTTTTGCTACTGTGGGTTTATTAAAAACTTTAGGCAAAGCTTATCAGATATTTCTGCTAAATCTTAAAAGGTCTTTCATGAACATTTTTCTTCTTTGGGCTAACTACAACTTTTGACACCACTAATGATAGAATCATAGAATATCAGGGTTGGAAGGGACCTCAGGAGATCATCTAGTCCAACCCCCTGCTCAAAGCAGGACCAATCCCCAACTACATTATCCCAGCCAGGGCTTTGTCAAGCCTGACCTTAAAAACCTCTAAGGAAGAAGATTCCACCACCTCCCTAGGTAACCCATTCCAGTGCTTCACCACCCTCCTAGTGAAAAAGTTTTTCCTAATATCCAACCTAAACCTCCCCCACTGCAACTTAAGACCATTACTCCTTGTTCTGTCATCTGCTACCACTGCGAACAGTCTAGATCCATCCTCTTTGGAACCCCCTTTCAGGTAGTTGAAAGCAGCTATCAAATCCCCTCTCATTCTTCTCTTCTGCAGACTAAACAATCCCAGTTCCCTCAGCCTCTCCTCATAAATCATGTGCTCCAGCCCCCTAAGCATTTTTGTTGCCCTCTGCTGGACTCTTTCCAATTTTTCCACATCCTTCTTGTAGTGTGTGGCCCAAAACTGGACACAGTACTCCAGATGAGACCTCACCCATCACATCCCTCAGTCTGCTGGCAACAAGGGCACACTGTTGACTCATATCCACCTACTCGTCCACTGTAACCCCTAGGGCCTTTTCTGCAGAACTGCTGCCTAGCCATTCGGTCCCTAGTCTGTAGCAGTGCATGGGATTCTTCCATCCTAAGTGCAGGACTCTGCACTTGTCCTTGTTGAACTTCATTAGATTTCTTTTGGCCCAATCCTCTAATTTGTCTAGGTCCCTCTATCCTATCCCTACTTATTCATTATGAACATTTATTATTTTCAGTAACATAATAAGAAACAGTATATTTCCATTGAGCTTAGATCTAGTGCTCTTTCTACCAAGAAATAAGTCACAAATAGATATAAATCATACAAGAAAAACCCTACCAGAATGTTATCTATGGAGCTGTTGATCTGTCTTGAGTAGCCACAGAAAAGTTTGCAGACGTTGAGCCGGTAAGAATAAAAAACTGTCCAGTGCCTGAGTGCTGTGCCATAACCACAAGGTTAATTGTTTTAGTGCTGAAATGGTTTAACTCTCTCCAAGTTTTATGCAACTATTAGCAGCTGATCTTGTTAGCATGCTGTTATAAATTGAATGATGGCAGGATGTAGCCTTAAGAATGTATCTGAGTTTTATGGTTTGGATGGATGCTCTAGAATCTTGTTCTCTTTGTACTTAATCACACCACTAACATAACCTACCTGTCTTAGTACTTATATTGTCCTTCATCTATAAACATTTCTAAAGTGCCTCTCACTGTAGCCTCTAAGTACTATACATGAATGAAAAATTCAGAAGGGTCCCTTCAAGGATTCCAGGCTGCATGGTTTTGTGCCATTTAAAAAACATTTCTATTTCAATTTAGTTTTGTTTTCCCTCATACCTTTCAACATTTTGCAGATTTGTATCAAAGTGCAGTCATAAACTCTACACATTTTTTCTCCCCCAACCAGTGCCAAGTGGGTTGTTAGATGTCTGGTACATAATGCAAGATATGGACTCCCAAACACAGAATATCACTCTTTTTTGGAAGGTAAGATTTTACTAATCTAGGGAATTTAAAAGTATATAGTCAAGTTTGAAGCAGGGACTGTGTTTTACTATGTGTTTGAAGAGAAAGGGCTTATAGCAAGGAAAAACACAGCTCCGCTTCCCCTGCTAACAGCAGAAAGAGAGCTACCTCCTTGCCTCCCTTTCTTAAGAGAGCAGACCAAGGAGTAGAGGAAATTCAGCTACCTGTGAGTTTTCTTCTCCTCTTTGATCAGTGCAGCAAAGACTCACCAGGCAGGGGAATGTGAAGAGGGAGCCAGTTCCTGGCTGAAGAGTTTTTGGGGTCCCAACATTTCCTGCCAGTGGATGGAGTAGGAGTAGCAGTACCTGATACAGGGGAGTAAAAGTGTTCCAGCTATGGTTTCCCACCCCTTTCCTTTAAAAAAGGATGCTCTCCATCACTACTTCCCCCTTTCTTCCAGGGAGATAGGAGACACAATACCCATGTTCTCATCTCCCTCCCCAACATTTCAACTTTCAACCCTGCTGTGGGGAAGACATTTTGAAATACCTTTTGTGGTGTTATTTATAATATCTTAGTCTGAGGATCTTCTAAAATGCGGAAAGTTTCATGGGGCATTTCAAAATTTAAGAACATCAGAATGGCCACATTGCGTCAGATTAATGGTCCAGTCTAGCCCAGTATGCTGTCTTCCGACAGTGGCCAATGCCAGGTGCTTCAGAGGGAATGAACAGAACAGGCAATCGTCAAATGATCCATTCTGTCATCCACTCCCAGCTTCTGGCAATCAGAGACTAGGGACACTCAGAGCGTGAGGTTGCAGCCCTGACCATCTTGGCTAATAGCCATTGTTGGACCTGTCCTCCATGAGTGTATCTAGTTCTTTTTTTAATACTGTTATAGTTTTGGCCTTCACAGCTTACCCTAGCAACGAGTTCCACAGGTTGTGTGAAGACGTACTTCCTTCTGTTTGTTTTAAACCTGCTGCCTATTAATTTCATTGGGTACTCCCAGGTTCTTGTGTTATATGAAGAAGTAACACTTTCTTTGTATCTGGTAAGTTATTGACACAGCAGCTGCTACTTCTAGTCACAACAAATATGCTTCTGCTAATTAAAAGCAATATATTCAGACCTTCTCCAACATGAAGTGCCACTGCTGACTTGCTAATTTCTGATAAGGAGTCACAGTTAACCAGTCTAAATAAGCTTTCAAATAATGCCTAGGGTGTTACTGTACTTCCTCCAGTTTCTAGAACAGAGGTAGAAAGGAAGTGAAAATGGGTTACTAAAGGACAGTTGTTGATATGAGTATCATTTTCTAGCAAAGAGGACTATTACTATAAATAGCTGTCTGATTCAGAAAAATGTTACCTCATCGTGAAATGGGTATTGGAAGGAACAGTGGCTGAGTTAGTTAATATAGGTATCTTGAGGGTCTGAAGCAAGATGTGGAAGATGTGAAAAGCACTGAACAAACAGATAGTTTGTCATTCAGATTAGTGACAGACCACAGTAGTGACGATGAGTAGCCACAGCAGTTGTTCTTGAAGTCGTTCTGATTTCCTGAGTTTCTTTTCCAATTCTTTATTCTCATAAGGAATATACGCACACGAGAGAAGTGTTAGATCAGACTATACCCCTTCCTGGAAAGGAGGAAAGATGTGCTGGTATATTTTTTCCAGGAAATGACAGCTCTCCCAGCTGTCGTCAGAGGAGAGTCTGAATTAGGCCCTGATTCAAAGCTCATTGGCTTGTATGGAAAGACTACATGGAGGACAGTGGGCTTGAAATCGAGCCTTTAATGGACAAGCTATAGCCCATGTGTAGTGTGTTCATATTATAAAAACTTACAACATAGAGATTGTATACGAGGTGACACAAGAATCTATTTTCTTTCATTGTATTAGGCAGACAGACAGATCTAGGAATTACTATTTCTATTGTTCTAATCAGTGCTTCCAGAACCGTCACACGTCCCAAGATGGTGTTCATTAGTAATTTTCCACAGCAGAGGGAGCACAGGTAGAATATCTTTTTGCAGGTCTTACATGAGCAATGATTTTTCTTCTTTATATTTCTCAGTGACAGGATTTCCACCTCCCTCTCCCCTTGCCCCGGATAGCAGCATCTAATGCAGGGGTCGGCAACGTTTGGCATGCGGCTTGCCAGGGTAAGCACTGTGGCGGGCCGAGCCAGTTTATTTACCTGCTGACGCGGCAGGTTCGGCCGATCGCGGCCCCCACTGGCCACGGTTCGCCGTCCTGGGCCAATGGGGGTGGCGAGAAGCGGCGCGGGCGAGCGATGTGCTGGCCGCGGCTTCCTGCCGCCCCCATTGGCCCGGGACAGCGAACCGCGGCCAGCGGGGGCCGCGATCGGCCGAACCTGCCGTGTCAGCGGGTAAATAAACTGGCCCGGCCCGCCAGGGTGCTTACCCTGGCAAGCCGCATGCCAAACGTTGCCAACCCCTGATCTAATGAATCATTTTCTCACAAAAAAAGATCCTTTCAGCACTGAAGTGTAGCTAAGGTAATAGCGAATGGCACAACTTTGCAATGGGGGTTCTCAAAGGAGGAGTTAGGTAACCAATTCCCAGTGAACTGATTTGATTGAATGGGATTTAGGTGCCTAACGACCTTAAACTCTTTTGAAAACCCTAGCCATAAGCATTACTTTAATTACGTGTAGCTACTTGGTAGAAGATGCATTTGAGCAGAAGCAAAAACACAGTGGGTTTTTTTAAATGCACACAAAGCTATCTAGCAAATAAGTGCATTGTTTTTCATGGTTTTTGAATGGAGTCAACCAACATTGCTGATCTCAGGTTTGTTAGTTTACAGAGACAGCTCTGGGAAACAAAGTGCGTTAGCCTCCACGGAACCACCACACAGGACATAAGCCATTGTTTTACCACAGGTCCCACAAATACCAGCTTTCCATCCCTCTCCTCTACAGAGAGGGAAAGCTGGATTAAAGTTTTATATATTTATTTCCCTTAAGGAAAAGTTATTTAACAGAATGATAACCTTTCTGTATCATTTGAAACCAACCTATAAAATCCTGGAGCAGGGATATAAGACCTATAACAGTCTGTACAGCCTTATTGAGTTCCCTAGGACTTTTCCTTAAAGGTATAATTGCACCTCAAATAGTTCATTTATGAGCTAAAAGTTTTGCAATTAATTAAGGTTCTCTGCCATAGAATTAGTATGTATCTTGGCATAGATTTTAAGGCCAGAAGGAACCATTAGATGATCATTTAGCCTGGCCTCCTGTAGAACACAGGCCATAGAACTTCAGCCAACATCTCTTTGCTATATATTTTGTTGTATAAATTGCAATGGGCTTATGAACAATAATAAAAATGAGTGAACTAGAGAATGTTGTCAGATTGTAAATTTAAGGTAAGTCGTATTTGGTATCTTAGCTACAGAGTAGTGTCCCTTTGATCGCTATAGTGTCTGCATATGAATTAAAAAAAAAAAAAACAAGATATGCCTATGCCATCTAAATAGATCCTTTAAAAAACAGAAGATAGCAGGTACATAACAAAAGTACTATTGAAGTCTCAGTTTTTGTTACAGTTTTTTTTGCCTTTGCAAGCCTGATGCTACTTTGGGAGGATTCTAGGTCAGTGTAGCTGCAGCACTCTCCATCAGTAGATGGGGCTTGCACCAGCACACTTCCCTTCAACAGTAGGGGTTGTGGCATCTCATTCTGTTTGTCTCTGCTGGCAGAGCTCATTGCTGTTTTTGATACGGAGTGGAAATGGCAGGATCCTCAAACTTTCTCCAGTCTTCATAATATATTTTCTAACATCCAATGGTGATTCTTTAGGAGCTGCTGCATGTTTCATAATTACAGAATTATCAGAAACAAAGTGTTACTATAGAGAAGGCTCTGGTACATCTTGAGTATGAAAAGCCTTTATGTATATAAAAACAAATAACTCCCCCATTATATTCTAAATATTTGATCTGAATTCATGACTTTTTCTAGACAGGATTTCTCATCAGTTATTACAGCCTCTTCTGCTGACATATACTTTTATGCTAATTTTTTTAGGTATCGTACCTTTTCTGTTGAGTTTAATTATTACTATATTGAACCTTTATACTGTACATGCATTATGCACAGGCTATTGTAAAGGCACCAGACGCTCCTGTGAACTACTAGCCATAGCTTTTGGTAAGTTGTATAGTTCTCAGACAGTTAACAACATCTTTATCAAAGAGCAGACGTGAAAACTTTCCAAAGTCTCTTGAAGCACTTCAGTTAATTAATTTCAATTGAACGGTGCTAGTGCAAGGTGCTCTTAACAGTTTTGGCAAATTCCTTTTTTTGAATATTTGTGATCTTGCCAGGAAAATAATGGGGAAAAGTAATAAAGTATATTTCTTTGTAGGTTATGAGCAAGTCAGAAGCAAGAGGAAAGATCCTGCATTACACACTCACCTTTCAAGCACTAAACCAGAAGAGTCCTAGAACGACAGATGTGAACATTACCACACAAACCCACTTCACTAGAGTCCTCCCCAAGGTGGATTATAACATAATGATCTATGCTCATAATTCAAAAGGAAACTCATCTCCAACGTCCATCATTACTGATCTGAGTATTTTAGGTAAACACCTTTACTGCTTGAGTTACGAGAAATATTGGCTCTTGCTTTTGAACAGAGCAGAACTCTGTGTTCTGAAGTATTCAGCTTTTAAGTTAGAGGTCATTCAAAGCCCTGTTACCTCTTTATACAGTTACGATTAGTGCTTATGAAGCTTGCTGTCTCTGCTAATAATTTGTCAGAGTTTGTAATTAATGAGCAATATGATTGGCTCTAAGCACATTGTGTCCACGTATCATGGTTAATATTCAGCAGCTGGACTCAACTAGCCAGGTTTCATCCTTCTCTACAGCCTAGGCTGGCACATAGTTGCCTTCTTGTAGCCCAGGAGTAATGCTTATTTTTAAACTATCAATAGGATCCACTAGTGGGCCCTGTCCTAACTTTGTAGTAGGATATTCACAGGGTGCATTGCTCCACGTGTTGCTTATTCTGCTCTGCATTACTATTTCTAGACACTCTCTCCCCAACTGAGACAGTATGGCATATCAGCTGCTGAGAATGGGTTGATATAGGCCCTCTTTACTTAGGCTGCCTAAGATGGAGAGAGACAGTCGATACATGGCTGTATTGTGAAAAAAGCTGCTGAGTGGACACAACTCAACCATGTTTGTTATACCAAGGTCAGATATGTGGCATGGTCATACTTCAGTGGTAGATAGCAACTTACTAACCCACCTTTGTCACCAACTTCCCTCCCACAGCTTTTTCCTGCAGAAGAGAGTAATGTGGCCCTGTGTCTGAAAGCAAAATTTTACACTTATGTGGATCAGACATGTTCCAGACTCTTGGTGGAAGCACGGGTGTTATTAGAATGGTTGGTAGGTAGAAACCATGTGAAGACCATGGGCATTAAGGAGTAAAGGTAGCAGTGCTCCTGTTGCTGTACCATGATGCAAGATGGCAATAAAAAAACCCAGCCAAACAACAAACAAACCCCACCGTTTTAGCAGCTTAGTTGTAATCAGACTAGCACAAAGAGCTTTTCTCTCTGATGAAGGATTCTGTACACTGTGTAGCACTAAGATGAAGAAAGGCAGCAACTGCACATATCCAATCTACCAAGTCAAAATACAACAGACCATGAGTAACAGATTCAAATAAGTGATATTGTTTAAGGGAGTGTTACAGGCAACTTGTGTGTTTTTTTTTTCTCCTTTTTAAGATTTACCTCCTCCGCAGAGCATCTCTGTTACACCAATGGGGAATAACAGCATCTTTGTCATTTGGGCGCCTCCCATTGAATCTGCAGCCTTCAATGGATATATAGTGGAATGGGCAGAGACATGTAGCCCTGAACCCCATCTGAACTGGATAAAATTTCCAGCATCCAATTTGTCCACAATAATATCAGGTAATTGTACAGTTTAGAAGTGGATTCTCCTTCCAATTAGGAAGCTTTGTGTTAGGAACCATCTGATTCAATGTTAATTTCTACTAGACCAAGCTGAACAGTTACAGTATTGAAAGCATTTAAAAATAGTTAGTGGCTACTAGGTAATAATCTTAGTTGCGCTAGGTTAGACTGTCAGTGACTCCTTATATGTTTGTAACTGGTAAATGGACTGTTCTGTGTCAGTTCTCTCACATTCCATAAGTAGTAGTCCCTTCCAGATGATTTAAGAACAGTGCTACACAAAGTTTGAACACTGAAACAGATTAACAAGGGAACTTAGAATCAGTACAAAGTATGCTGAAGGACTATCTAGGCAGTAGTACTTTGCTCATTACTATTATAAATAGTCTTTCCAATATACTGTACTGGTACTGTACCTTGTTGGTTTATTAGGCCTGTCAGGAGTAAGGACCCTGCTGTCTCTGGAGTAGACCAGAAAACAACCAGCAAGCTCATGCTACTATCTTGTACTCTCCAGAAGGAGAGTGAGTTACTAGCAGCATCTCACAACCCCCAGAGACCCTTCTAGTGGGGAGGTGCTCATATTCCATGGTTCTGAATGTGGGATAGGAGGCCATCGCTGGCACTGCTTCCAATCTGGCTTTGCTATAGCAGCCATCAATCATATATATTAAAACTGTGACCTGCGTAACAGCTTGTTTCCTCCTCTGCTTTCCCATTACTCAAAAATGGCTGAAGAGATTTGCTCAGACTTTTGATTTTTCTTCCACTGTGGTGACTCATGCTATACCCACTCCATGGCTATATAAAGGACTTCAGTCTTCAGGACTGTTAGCTTTAATGTTTGTGAAAGCTATTTACACAAACAGAGAGATGATGCAAAGTTGCCAGAGAGGAGAACATAAAGAGCCTCTTGCTCAATTTGAAGAATATATGTAATAAAATTGAAGCCTAGTCTCCACTTTAGATGGTTAGGTAATTGTGTTAATATTTCAATTGACCACATATCTGATCTCTCTCGTTTCAGAGAACATAAAGCATGATGTATGCTATGACATCAACGTATTTGCACTTTATAGGAACAGAGCTGGACAAGTGGCTTCAGCTAGAGGATACTCGAAACAGGAAGGCAAGCTCTGGCTATTCAGTCTGAGACATTTTGTTTAAACTAGCCTAAACATTTGTCCTTAAAAATAAAATCTTGTGTTTTGCAGCACCATCAGCTGGCCCCCAGGTTTATGCAGCAGTAAAAGGAGATGGTGTTTGGGTTTCATGGGAAGAAATCCCAGGCCACCAGCAAATGGGCTGTATCACTAGCTACAATATATATTTGCAGAAGAAAAACTCAGAGGAAGGCCCTAAAGTTTATGGTAGGTATCTGGCAAAAAATAAGCAGAACATAAACCCTGTTCTTGTACAGGACATTGAAAATATGAACCCCACTGTTCTAGGTAAGAGGAAAAAATGCATTTAGAAAGATACACATGCGCCCAAAAGCCACAAGGCTTGGCTCCAGAGCTGAACTTCCCCAGAGTTTGGAGCCAACTGATTCCAGGTTTTGGTTTGGGCCTCTCTCTACTAAAAATATCTGCAGAAGGGACTGGAGAGTCAGTTTTTAAAAGTGTGTCACTTCTACTAGCAAGACAAAAATAGAATAAACTAATGCAATTTGATATCTGTGCACACTGCTACCCTTGAATTATCTACTTAAAGCTACTTAACAGTAATTGATGTAGTCCCTTTTAGTTATAGAGTGGATAAGGTAACAGATTTACTCAGAAGTCACTCAGGATAAACACATACCAATGAAGTTTTTAATCAGTACATACGTATACACACACACCACTTTCTTATTGTGCAAGTCATCTATTATCCCATGAACACTGTAATTCCTATATCCACCACGCCCTCCCAGAAGAAACAAACCCATATACATTCCTTTCTCAATTGTATCCAAGCACTGCAACAACAGAGTTCTTAAAACACAAACATGCCTTTCAAAATGTCACCTCACAAACATCTCTTGAGGTGAGAGTGATCTTTCACCACTAACCAGTGATATCCCGAGGATAAAAAAATCCAATCTTCAGGCAATATCTAGTAATCATTGTATGCAGGATAATATAAGTCTTACTACACCCACAATAGTATTAATTCTTCTGTATTCTTTCTAGGTTCTCAAGACTAATAAAAAAACAAAAAACTTACCTCTGTTGCAGCCACACATGCTCTGTTCTTCTTACTCCTACTTTCATCACTTCAACTGAAAGGTCCTTTACTGTTTTATAACACTATATCTCTCAAGTGTCTCCTGCCCAATTAAACATCTTTGTCTTTACATAGAATCAGTAATAAAAAGCAGCTATTTTCTGCTACAGCCCATATATAGACTCACCTTTTACACTGTAACCAAACAAAACAAACCCTAAATTCCACTTTTTTCTCTGCTCTCAAGTTCCTTATTGACAGCACCTGTGGGTATGATTAGGTCAAGTAATCACTGTGGGAAGGCTACAAATCTCAGGCTGTAGTATCTCCATGATGCTGGGATGGGTCTTCTGCTCATTAAGTATGTATGAAGATGGCCTACAAGGCATGTTTTTTTTGGATTTCCTTTAAATGAAATTCAGGTCTTATCTACCCAGGTATTTTGTGTGACCAGAGAAGTAGTAAGTTTATGGCATCAGAGATATCACGGAACCGAAACCTAATTGAGACCTTGATGTTGCTTATGCATGTGTTTAACTTTATTATTGTGAGTAGTTCCACTGAAATCAATAGGACAGCACATAGTAAAGTTAAGAATGTAAGTGGTTGTAGAATTGGAGCCTGAGAGTGGAAGCAGTTTATAGTCACTGCTTAAAACTATGGGTTTTTTTCTTTTTTAACAACACCCCTTTTAACTAAAGAATTGGAGAAAACTTCTTGGATAAGGATTTGGCCTGCTGGCTCCTCCATTATGGAATGAGAACCCTCCCAGTCCACATTTCTGAGGCATCCAAGAATTCTGCCAACAGACAGAGGGAAGAGTTGTTGTTTCTAAGAAAGAGGGGGAAAAAAGGCAAAAACCACTTCCACACTTAAAAACAAACAAAGGCCAACCCCCTCCCCCTCACTCCCAACAGCCTCCTGCCAAAATGCATTCAGAACTTTAAAAAAAATATAAATATATATATATATATATATATATATATATAGGAAAGAAGCAAAAAAAAGAAAGCACACTCTCATTCACCTTTAAAGTAATTTTATAGGAGCAAGTTTAGTTTTTAATTTTGTCCTCTGTGCTTTATCAAGTTGTTTTTCTTCCTTATGTAAATGCAGTTTATTTCTACACAAATAGCTAACACAGAGAAGGTGGACAGTGGTTAGGGCACTAGCTTAGGACTTGAGACATGTAGGTTCAGTTGCCTGCTCTGACAGAATTCCTGTATGACCTTGAGCAAGTCATTTAGCCTCTCTGTGCCTCAACACCCTCTCAGTTTAAAAAAAAAAAGCCAGTAGTACTCCCCTCCCTCACCAGGTGTTGTAAGAATAAATACATTAAAAGATTGTGAGGTGTTCATGTACTACTGTAACGGGGCAGTACAAGATAGCTATTGTCTAGAAGAAAACATGCCAACGTCTGCACTGATTTACATCCAAGTTCACAATCTGAGGAATAGTTTTGCTACCATAAAGGGATTTTAATGAGGTTTAATAAAATAATAAAAGCTTAAAAATGACACTCACTAGGGATCTGTTCAATGAGCATCTATTAGCTAGCTCCTAATTCTGTGAACAGACCAGTTTGTGATCTGGGGGCTTCTGATCCATTTGGAGCTACTGGCAGGGATTTTTTACATTCAGAAAAACCAGTAATGAATCATTGGTAAGGCTAAGATTTTGTCACAGTATTTTTAGTAAGTGTTGATGGCCAAAAATACTATCAAACTACAGAAAATGCTGCGAGAACTCAACACAAAAAGCAGCCAAGTCGGACTGAAAATTAACTGCTCTAAAACGAAATTTATGTGGTCTGATACCATGCCAAAAGCCCAAATAACAGATCAAGGGAGAACAAATAGAAGTTGAGCAATATGTCTATTTGGGCCAAGAAATTAACATGCGCCACGATCAGGAAGGTGAACTCTTGCGAAGAAAGAAAGCAGGTTGGTGCGCATTCAATTCTATCAAGGATGTCCTCCAAAGAAAAATCAACAAGGGAACACATGCCAGCCTCTTCAACTCCACAGTACTGCCAGCAATATTGTACGGCAGCGAAACATGGGTGCTGATGAAGTCAGAGGAGCAGCAACTGTCTGTCACAGAGAGGGCAATGGAAAGAAGAATTCTGGGAATTTCAGTCTGCAACTGAATCCCCAAAGAAGTGATCAGACAACAGAGTGGAGTGCAAGACGTTGTTGAGAGCAGGCATAGTAAAATGCGAAGGGCCGGGCATATAGCGAGGCTCACTGACAATTGATGGACTTCAGCTGTCGCCGAGTGGTACCCATGGGAACTGAAACAACCACTCGGCCGACCTCCAAAGAGATGGGAAAACTTTATTGTGAAAAGATATGACCGTACATGGAGAAGGGAGGAAGATGTGTTGTGATCGGCGCAATCTATACGAGGGCTGAAGGACCGATCGATCAAGGTGATTTTTAGTAAAAGTCACAGACCGGTCACAGGCAATAAACAAAAATTCATGGAAGCCCACAACCTGTCCTGGCCTTTTACTAAAAATACGCTGGGGGGAGGAGGGACAAACAGAGTGCCGCCGGGACTTGCAGCTGCTCTAGCCCCACTGCTATTTCTGCGGCAGGGGCTGACCACTGCTGCTCCAGCCCCATGGGGGCTGACCGAACCCCAGCCGCTGCTCCAGTGGACTGGGGGACTGCTGCTCTGGTGGCCCTGGGGCTGAGCCCCTGGTCAGTTGGTCCAGTGGCCCTGGGGCTGGCTTCCAGTCAGCTGTTCTGGCAGCCCTGGGGCTGACAGCTGCTCCAGCCCTGCCCCAGACAAAGTTACGGAAAGTCACGGAATTCATGACATCTGTGGCAGAATCATAGCCTTAATCATTGGGGTAGAAAATGAAAACAGGTGTATATAATTTGTAAACCTGTCTCCCCTTCCCCCCCCCCCCCGTCCTATTACAAATGCTGCATAGGCAGACTTCTGTGACCACATGGAGCTGCACTGACTTGAAGTAGGGCTCTGCATGGGAATTTTGAGTCCATCCTTCTTGGAGCTCATTCCAGGAGCAGCCCATAGAAAGTAAAAGTAGCTGCTCAAATATGAACACTACTAATCTGTGCTTAGTGTTCCTTTACAATTTAGGAATCACACCAGTTAGAATAGGGCAGAAAATGGTACTGTTAAATTCTTTATGTACAGGACATGGTTATTTACAAAGTCCTTTACGCATACATAGTGCTTAGCAAACATGGCAATCATAGTCCCTACCCTGAGCAGCATATGATCTAATTCAGACAAATAGGATAACAAGACAATGACTCAGATTCAAAAGGGCAAAGGGGACAGAGATCTGGGTTGGAAAAGCTTCATGAAAGAAGCTGCACAGAGATTTAGAGGAGAAAGCAGGGCACTTGGTGAAGGAGGATCCTGTTCAAAGCATAGGTTATGAAGAAAAATAAAGATGGGTAGCTAAGAGTAGGAGAAAGCAGTGAAGACAAGACTCGGAGAACAAGGAAAGGGAGGGAGAAAAGGTGAGATGGAGAATTGAGGGTTCAGTTCTTTAGAATTAAACAAGAGAAATAAAAACACTGGATTCTTTGTTGATTTCTCTTTTTTTCTCTTTTCAGTCATCCATAAAGAGACTTCCAGAAATTCATTTTTAATCAAAAACCTGCAGCATGGTGTGAACTACGTTTTGTGGATGACAGCTTCAACCATGGCTGGAGAAAGCCCTATAGGGAACGAGGAACTGGTTTACCTAGAAAGTAACAAATAGCTTCATCTTAAGACCTTTGTGTGATGAGCCAGCAGAAAGACACCTTAGCTATCCCTGGCCCCAGCCCTTTCACACAGATCTGGATTGTACCTACTCCTGTTAATCCTTTCAGAGAAAATAATTGGATATTTTCAGCTGGTTATAAAATTGTGCATGTTTTTTTTTCCTTCCAATTGCCCACCTTCCCACAAGACATCTGTAGAGACAACTAGGATATGCAAGTAGTAATTTGAGTCCAGTGGGACTGGTCACATAAGTAAGGCAAGCAGTGTTAGACCTCACTGAAGGTAATAGGAGTTTTGGCACAGACTTCAATGTGAACAGTCCCATTGGCCTCAAATTACTACTTACATATTTAAGCTAGGGATAAAGTAGGGCCTGATTATGCTCACATTGAAGTGAATGGCAAAATTCCCACTGACTCTAGTAAAGAAATAAAATAGTATTATTTCTGAATTCCTGTAATTCTCAGCTATTTCAGAAGACTGAGAGGGGACATGATAGCAGTTTTCAGGTATCTAAAAGGGTGTCATAAGGAGATGGGAGGAAACTTTTTCAACTTATCCTCTAAGGATAGAACAAGAAGCAATGGGCTTAAACTGCAGCAAGGGAGGTTTAGGTTGGACATTAGGAAAAAGTTCCTAGCTGTCAGGGTGGTTAAACATTGGAATAAACTGCCTAGGGAGGTTGTGGATTCTCCATCTCTGGAGATATGTAAGAGTAGGTTAGATAAATGTCTATCAGGGATGGTCTAGACAGTATTTGGTCCTGCCATGAGGGCAAGGGACTGGACTCGATGATCTCTCGAGGTCCCTTCCAGTCCTAGAGTCTATGAATCTATGAATGGCAAAATTCCCACTGACTCTAGTAAATAAATAAAATAGTATTATTTCTGAATTCCTGTAATTCTCAGCTATTTCAGAGGTTTCCTATATTCAGAAGTTTCCCCCTGTGTGTGTATTCCACACAATTATGCCTGTAATACCAGTTACAAAGTCAGACCTCTTTCTACATTTTTTGACTAGAGCTGGTAGAATCAGACTTTCAAACCCATGGGAAATTCCCTTAGTTTGAAATTTGTTTTCATCCCAAATTGGGACAGAAAGTCAAAGAACAAAATTTTACACATATACTAGAAAGTTCAGAAAAATTTTGATTAGTAAATATCAAAAAGTTTCATTTTGGTTTGTCAGCTCTCCTACAATGTACAGTGGTTATGTGACTCCCATCATGCACCACAGCAGTTCAGAGGAGAGGCCATGGTGCATCATGGGAGATGTCCAGGTAGGGAGCCTGGCCTGTAGAGAATGGGGGCATGAGGCACTCCAAGTACAGTTCCCATGAGGCACTGTGGCAGCTGCGTAGACACAGATTCATGTTGAACTGACCCCGAATGAAATATTTTGATTCAGTTCAACAAACTGAAGTATTCAGATTTGGGTCGATCTAAACCAAAATAGTGTGTTTCAGTTTCCCTAACAAAAATTTTAAAAACTTCAGCAAAATCAACATGTTCCCCCAATGAATTTTGATTTTGCAGAAGTTGAATTTTCTGTCAAAAAAATTCCTGACCAGCTCTAATTTTGATTGTTCCACAGACACAACATAGTATATTTACTGTTTAAAAGCTTTTCTGCCTAGCCTAGCGATCACTAGCATAGTCCATCTTACTGACTCTAGGTTTATTTGCTGCATATGTCGATGTTAAGTGCAGTGGCCCAAGACAAAGGTTAAAGGGCTGCATATATTAGACAATCAGTCTTGGGTGAAATTGCCCAATGGAGAGCCCCATCTTACAAAGTTCTCTTTTTTCTTAGCATTTCAGCAGTGCCAAATTCCAGTTCTTAAATGTACTCAGTTCTTTTTCGTTTATGAGCAAGAGAGCACACCCCAGGACTTTCATAGGTCAACCATCCATACAGTTGAGTTAGCATATTTAAAATCTGATTTTTGCTGTTTATCAACATGGGTTTGCTGGATTTACAGGTGCTTCTGAATGGATTATTGTTTCGGCTGCTTGCATCTTCTTCGGTATTTCAGCCTGCATTTGCTTTGTGCAATCTGTTCAAAAAGCGTAAGTGAATTATTTTTATCATATCTAAACTCCAAAAATAAAGTAGTTTCCTCTTTAGAATGTATAATAATGTCTTTTTACAACTTGTTCTAAACTCCTTTGAAATTTTACCTGAAATTTACAAGATGCCAAATTGCATAAATGATATTAAATAAAAACACAGCACAAAGTTAGATATTTGTACATGTAAATAGATGCAGGTTCAGAAATGCACCAATCGAGAATGTGCACCCCTCCCCCCCCTTGGATACTTTTTTTTTTTTCTTCAAGTTTAACCCTTAGGACCTAATCCTTCTCCCATTGAAATGAGACACCTGGTAACTTCACTGAGAACAGAATCCAACCCTTAGACTGAAAACTCTTAAGAGCAGGGATTTGTCTTCATAAAGCAACACACACCAAGGAAGTAATAGATGTCTAGAGACCAGAACAAAATATAGTTCATAGAACAGAAGAGCTCTCTAATTATCTGCTGCTACAGAACAGTTTTGATGCCACAGGGATTTCCCTATATCAGCTACCTTCCAAATTTAATTCATTTAAAAACTTGAAGGGGCCACTTTTTTTTTTTAAGATATACTTAAAGGTAAAAGGCAAAGTAGATTATATACTAGCTTGTTGACTCAGTGACCACCACAAAATGCTAACAGCAGAGACAACAAAGTTTGGGAGCTATATCAGAAGTGTCACTATCTGGGCCTCCAGCTTAGCAAATTTCACTCTATATGATTAACAAAAATATCCAGTGTTACGTTAGTAAGGATTTCTTAAGAAAACAAGACCTATGGAAGGGATGTAACCCTCATGCATCTGAGCATAAGCCAACCTGTAACTATCAGAGTTAGGATGAAACTTCCTGAAGACAGACCATTCCATTACTGCTTACTGCAGGAGTTTCTGTGAAGCATCTGTTGTTGGCCATTGAGACAAGACAGACCACTGGTCTGATGTAGTATGGCAATTCCTATACTTCTAAGGGAGCAGCATCACAGAGGTGATGCATTACAGGTGGGAGCTACTTGCAGTGTTTTGTCCACTTAGTGGTAAATTATGATGCAGAATCAGTGTCTCAGAAACAGTCCCTTGCCCTCTTGGCCACAAGAGCGAGAGTAGTGTTTGCAGCTGTGAAAAATTAGGATAGGATATAAAAACAGCAGCCCAGAATGTAGAGTTGAACTACAATCCCTACTAGAACTGGCCAGAAATTTAGATTCTAAGCTTTTGGGGGCAGGAATTGACTATTTGTTGGGTGGGCGCACACACACACACGCCTCCCCCCTCCCCCCAATCCCTGACTGGAGCCTCTAGAAGCTATTGGTACACTATAAGGTGAAAGTTCGGCCTTCTCAGGTGTTCTGCACAGAGTCACTGGGGCTAAGAAAAACATGCTCGAGGACCCTTTTTTAGATCCCAGCACTAGGAGCAGGGAGGGGAAGAGAGTTTATTGGCTTGTAGAGGTGTACATCATGCAATGTTAGTGTACACTTTACATGGTTTAGATTGAAAGTCCATCTAATGGAAAGCCTAGATGCATCTTCCATTAGGGTTAAATGTGGTCATACGTGGGTTTAGAAAGTCACTGGCAGTTGGGGCAGAGTACAGATATAAGAGTGCTCCTGTTTATCTTCCCTCCTGACAAGTCAAGCAGCTGCATTCCAGACTAGCTTCTTCAAGGTTAACTCAAGGCAGAGGTTTCTGCAATAGTCAAGTTTTGAGGTAAACAGATGTGCAGTCCACCTCAGAGAGGAAAAAGTGCATGTCTCGGCCAGTTGAAATCTGAATACGAGATTTCTTGTCACTGTTGCCATCTGGGGAATCCAGGAGCAGCAATAAATATAGCAAGACCCTAAGTCTGCAAACCATCTGAGTGTAGGTTGGCAGGTTCCCGCAGCTGAGAGAGCAGCCATAGATGTTAACAAAGGGAAGAGTTTGAGAACCTACCAGTCAACATCACAACAGTTTTATCCAGATTGAGTTTAAACTAAATTGCTTTAATACAAGTTCCAACAAGGTAAATTGCAAATTACCAAATACTGGCAGGCTGGAATTTCTACTGGCCCAGACTAAAGCAGTCTACACTGAGCAAAAGACTGATTATTTGGTATCTTGGCATTGTGTGGTGTCCCAATTTAATATGTCAGATTTAAATGTGAGGATGTATAGATTATAGTTTGAAGCCATTACATTTGCAGGAATTAGCAATCGTGATTTTAATGCCAACATGTTCCATTTGTTTGTAGATTATGCTCACTCCTTTCTGTCCTTGTACCTCAATGGTACAGAAAAACCATTCCAGACCCAGCTAACTCGACATGGGCTAAAAAGTACTCCTCTGTAGAGGTAAGTCACCTTTCAAAATTATTTTTATACTAAGTTTGTCATGCTCACTTTAAAAATGATTTTGGCCATACATGTCTGTAATCTCTTGGTACAAAAAAAGGGTGAATTTATGGTCAGTGGGATGATTGCAGGGAACTACTTTGGCCTGTTAAGATTATCTTATGGCCTGTTAAAATTATCACGTATCAGCCTGATACAAGGACAATGCAGAAACTTACTTTTAGGATTAGCAGTATTAGAAAGGATGTTGTGTGAAAGCTATTTGCATTTTGACAGGGTAGAAGATACTGTCTGAATAATGAATATTTTTCCTCACCCATCAGAATGAGCTGAACTTAGATTCCAATCAGTTCCCAAGCTACTTCAGCAGTTTTGAAGAGCCTGAAACTATAGAAGTAGAGGAAGTCTTCATACAAAGGGAACCAGTGGCTTTCAAGGACATACCCATCTTCAACAACATTAAAAACAGTGAAGGTCATGATTGGCAAACAATAGAAAACAGCTTTGAGAAACGGGAATCCACTGAAAAGAACTCTGAGTACAAACCTTTGGCCCCCAGCACACCAGATGATGGAGACAATTATAAGTGTCACCTGCCTTACTTGTACAAAAAAGTAGTACTGGAGGGAACAGAGCAAATTCAAACTGTTTCTGAGTACCTTACTAATCCACTTACAGACATGACTGTGAACTATTTGCCTTCAAACATATTGTCTCCCATTATGGACACGAATGAAGAAAGCAATGAATTTGAATGCAAATCCTTCTCCATTTTCCCAACAACTCCTCTTCTGATGCCAATGTTTTCTTGTGGAGGGAAACTTACTTTGGATGCAGTAAAAATTGACTGCAATTCTTTCACAGACTAAGCAGTCCAGCTTGTATGTCTGTTTTTTTTTTGTTTGTTTTTTGTATTCTGGCCAGGTTCTGTGCACTTTAGTCAAATGAACAAATCACAAAATTGTTTTTAGTTTGATAGTACCAACTCATCCACTTCATGTAATTTAAAGGAAAGGTGTAAAATCTAAACAACATACACATGGTTAGAGTTGTGTTTTGTGTCTTACTTTGTAAGATAGTACATGTTTTGCACCTCTTTCTTGTGTGGATCTTATGAGAACCTGCTCTTGAGGTAGGCGACATGTTCATAAGATAGAAGTTGAGAGTTCTTACAGCAGAGCATATTTATATATTAACTGCCAAAAGTTCCATTTTAAGGTAGAGCAGAGGTTCTCTAACTGGGTGAGGGAGGAAATGGCACTGAATGTATTCTGGGTGTGTATGAGTAGTTTTTTTTTTGGGGGGGGGGGGGGGGGGTCACGGACCTCCATTGCAGCCCACAGTGTACCCACAGCTATGAATAACTCGAGGTTTGAGGGAGACAGGGCATCCATCTTACACCTTGGCAGCTGTTCAATACGCCTTTCTTTCGCACTGCTGCTGGTGGCGCCACTGCCTTCAGAGCTGAAGGTGGAAGTCCCTTATATTTAAATGGCTCTGTTTGAATCAGTGCCTTACTGTTTTTAATATTTAGTGGGTGTTTTTTTAAATTGGTATATGTACTTGTGTGGGGGACTACTACAGACACAAAGCAGGGTGGGAGAAGAGGGGTGCGATCACCATTGATGTGGGGTAAAGGCTGCCCATCCCTGCCTCGTACCTGTGCAGAACGTGGCTAAACTGAAACCTTTGAAAACGAAGAAATACAGAGGGCAGATCCACACAACCCCCTCTCATCAACTTTAGACGGTGCCCCCCCATCTTTGAGGGCTCAAATTATTTTAGGGGAGGGAGACTGATCAAAAACATCCCTGTATTCACACCCTACACATCACTGTAATAATCTTTGTACAAACTATGCCTTGTGAGGTATCGTTTGAAAATTAGTAACTCGCTGGTCAAATTATCATGATGAAATGTATGTAGCAACATTATATGTAAAGTTGTGAATTCCCCGTCTGATATTAGCACATGTTCCAAAACCAACCAGCTCTGCCAAGGCAAAAGTTGTTAAACAAGCCTGTTCTAAGTAAAGAAGTGTGAGTTTACCTCAGTTTACGTATAAGATGTAAACAGGGTCTTCAAGACAGTAGTGGAAGATGATGGCAGGAAACAACAATTTGGATTTCAGCAAACACAAGTAGGGGAAGAAAGCATGGAGCCTCCTTCACCACCAGACTCCATGTCTCCTTCTTTACTGATGGAATGAACTTTACTTTGAAGAGTGACCCTCAGAAGAATCCACTTCAAAGGTTCAAGGTAAATCCGCTTCAAAGGTAAAAGAATGGGGTAGAGACACCCAAGCTATATATTTCACCTAAGACAACAAAGGCACAAGCACCTTTGCGAGATCCTAACCAAGGAAAGTGTCAGTCCCCTATTGCTGGAAGACTGGGGGTGAGAAAGGCCACCTTAAAACAAAGCCTTCAACCAAAATTTGCTAGCTTAAGTTTTAGACATGTGGTTTCATTTTTATTTGCTTGTAACAATTTCTCATTTTATTTCATACTGGAATTCACTTACAATCTTATCTTTTGCTAATAAAATTGTTTTATTTTTAATCTAAACCAATCCAGTGCTGTTTGGTAACTTCAGTTAAATTAACAAATTGTTGAATACTGACTCTTTACAGGAGCAATAAACCATAATGTCTGCTGTCCAGGAGAGGGCTGGACATTGCAGAACACATTTTTGGGGAAATCCAAGACTGGGAGTGCATTGGGGTCACCTGCAGGTTGTAACTAAGTCTGGTGGAAGCCAGAGTGCGACTGGAGTGTTGCTGACAGGTTGCTGGGGTCAGAGCTGTTGGACCAGCTACAGCCATGCCCAGATACTCAAGGTGTGACCTACATGCTGCTAGTGGCCCAGGTTGGGTGTGGCAGCGGCAAGACATTTTGAGGCAGCCAGGCCTACAGGGAGGTGGTGACAACCCCTCACTGGCCTGGATTGCACCCCAGAATGTGACGGAGGGAGTGTCAGGGGAAGGGGCTCCCTCCCTGCCCCTTAGCACTCTTCTCCGTTTTGAGGACTGTCCCTTATTTGCATAAGGGATCACCACCGAAGGGGCTACTTCTCTGATGGAGCAGAACCATAAGGAGAGAAGGAGGAACCACCCTGACCAGGGTGATGTTAAAAAAAAAAAAAAAAGATTTTTGAAAAAAAATTTTTTCAATTGGATTTTTTATTTAAATTTTAGATTAAAAAATAAACCTATTTAAAATGAAATCTGAATTGAATGCTAATTATGTTAAAGCCTAAATTTATGATAATCTCTTAAAACATTTTAAATAACTATGCTGAATCCATGGTGGACCCTCTACCTAAAACTTTGAGTTAAAGGCTGTTTTGCTATATCAAGGAGGATATTTTCCCCCGATTCTAACTTTTGAGGTCAAGCTTCATAAATATGGCACAAATAGATCATGTACGGTATTAAGGGCTTGATCCTATGGAGGACCCCAGGTGCTGTGCTACTGGGTGCAAGACCCTGGCAAAGTCATCACAGGCATTGGGACCTGGCTTCTGACTCCAGGAGACACCATTATGTATCATCTCATCAGGATCATACAGGGAGCCCACTGGGTGGTCTCATACTCCTATTTTATAGCTTCTCTCCCTGAGTGCTGATTGGCTCAGTTCTCCAATTATGACTCCATCTACCATGGAAACTTACTCTCCAGCCCATGGGAAAACACTGATCTGCTCAGAAACTACCAGCCCTGGCTTCTAGATGGCTCTGGGCACTTGTCTACTTGCACCTGTACATGGACAGAGATACAAAGAAATCCATTTCTCAACTGCCCTCTTGGTCTCTAAACCAGTGGTTCTCTACCCACAGCCCAATCAGCACACAGCTGTGGCCAATGTGACATCCTCAGGGCCACGGGTGAATCAGAATCACCATTTTGAGTCCCAAGTATGAGCAAAAAAACCACTGTAAAATTAAGGTCACATGGTCTTTATATTTTTAAGGGACACTAAAATGCCACGCTCAAACTCCAGCTTTACACCACACCCTGAGCCTTGCTGAAGCACAGTTCACTTCAAGGCAATCGAATTAGGCACGATTTTAGCACTTCGCTGATTTTTTCTTTTGCCCCAGTTAAGCAGTACACTAGTCTCAACTTTAACTATAGTGGTGCTATTGCCCACTGTGTTACAGATGTGTACATGGGTAACTGGAGAAAGGGCTTCCTACTACATTTTTGCAGCAGGTTATATGAATCACTAAGCAAAAGTCAGATTGACTTTTTGGGTGAACCAATGGCAGGTAGGAGGAATAGTTTCCAGGAATGAAGAAACAGGCAACAAGAATCTGCCAACAGCAAAATGTTTGACTGTTTATTAAAATAGTCTAGATACAGATTTTAAAATATTTTCTATACATTCTATGATTTTATTCACTTAAAAATCTTGGAAATTTGAAAACTACGTTGCTTTGTTCACATAATCTTCTTTTCCATTCGATACTGACTTGTTAGCTACCGTATGACTGATCACACGTTCTGGGCTACAGCCACAGATTGAGTTTTTAATACGAGGTTTTTTTGTTTTTTGTTTTTTTTAAATGTAGACATTTCAAACAGATCTAAGTAGTTCAGATTTTTGACTTACCTTTAATGCATTCCTTTGACCTTCTTTACTCACCATTTATAACAGCAGTTCCCCTTTCAAGGCAGGTAAAGCAAGTGCTTCAACAAATGGATTAAGATTATAGCTTGTTGCATTGCAACTATTTCAATACTATCCCAAACTGTCTCTGTTGAAATGCTATTTTCTAATTTACTGATGAAACAATCCTCATAGCTTTTTCCACTGAGACCAACATCGCCCAAAGCAATGATAAAGGAGAATTCACCCCCCCCCCCCACCCCGTAGTAGAAATGCACCATTATTGCAAAAGACTGCTGCATTTGGACCATAGCTTTTTCCACTGAGACCAACATAGCATCCGTACTCAGAAGTGAAGGACCTAAACTCAAGTAACTCTTGCAGGTCAGGGAGGAAGCCCTTTATTTGTCTGCAGATTTTCAAAAGACTTTTTATTCCAACTATTGCCTCTTTGTCAACATAGGGTCCATAATGGCAAGTTTCTATCACATCTGTTTTCAACATCAAAAGATCTGTCATGACATTCCTGTGGATTTTGCATGAAACACAATCACACACATTTCCCTATAGTCATTACACTTGGTCTGTAGTCAAGCATCAAAACAATAGAAAATAATTAGCAACAAAATACTATCTTATGGTCTTATACATCAGTCTAATATTTTGATATTGCTTGTAACTAGGAATTCATTTTATGAAATTAGTGGCTGTGCATGTGAAATAGCTAATTTTCAATATGTAAGTTATTTAGCTTTTTTTTTAAATTGGAAAAGAGAGAAGTGAAGTTCAAACTAAGGTCCATGGTACTGAGCCTGCAGCCACTTCTTAGGTGGAGCACCCTTCCGGTTGCTGTACAGATTAGCAGCAGAATTAGGCTCCAATGCCTGCAAGATTTAAGTCATTTATTGTATTCAAGCAGGACATTGTCTGTCTATACCTATATACTTATTATATTGTGAGGTGTGTGTGCATGCATACATGATTTTTTATTTTTATATATTAAAATATAATATATATAGGGCCTAGTTTCAGACACTATTTTGTTTTCCATGTCCAAATTATCAAAAAGGCTGAGCTAAGTTTTGTACAAATATTTATTCTAAACCATTTTAAAGCAAATTTTAGTCTTAGAATTAAAATAGCCAAATGATGATCACCTCTGAAATGGTTCCTGCAGGGTTTCAAATAAATTTGGCTTTAAACTACAATCCTTTCTGAAAAACTGTCATCTTGTTCCTCTTTATTCCTGGGCTGAGAAGAAGACTCAGTTAAGAGTCTTGCATCAAATTCCTTCTCTGTCATACGATTAGAAATGTGCATATGTTACCGTCATACAACCAATCATGGCATCTTAATGAACATGAATATAACTTAGGCTCATGAAAATAGGTTACATACAAATAAAGTAAATCTAGCCAGTTGTCATAGATACAACTACATTATTGAATAAAGTCTATTTCCATCATATTTATTAGTCTTTTTTTAGAACACCTAGTTCTAAATTTGGGTAGCAAAACTGATATATTAAAAAAAGTGCTTTGGTATAAATCAACAAGTCTATAACAAGTAAGCCTGAGGGAGGAATAAAACTGACAAAAATGTACACAAACTGCTATAGTACATATTGTTCC